TAATGAAAGTGTCATCAACATATCTAAGGCAGAGTTTGGGTTTGTGTTCAGATAAGGCGTTAGTTTCAAAATGTTCCATGCATACGTTTGCGATGACGGGTGAGAGGAGTGATCCCATGAGTGCTCCTTCTATCTGTTTATAACTTTGTCCATTATGGATGAAGTATGTGTTGGTTAGGCAGTGGTTGGTCAGGTCCAGGATGTGTTTAGGGGGGGTTGTGTTTGTTCTGTCAAGGCTTCTTTTATAGGCACGTGGGTGAAGAGGGATATGACATCGAAACTCACAAGTAGATCGCTGGGTTGTAAGTTTTATTTCTTTATTGTTTCTATGAAGTGGAGTGAGTTTTGTATGTGAGGTGATAGATTCTGCATAGGGTTGGAGTTGTTTGGTGAGGAATTTGGCAAGATTCTGTAAAGGCGAGCCTATGGAGCTGACTATGGAACTGAGTGGTGTTCCTTCTTTGTGTATCTTGGGGAGGCCATAGAGTTTGGGGCATCTGGAAGATTTCTCTCTGGGACACATATTGTATATATATAAATAAATAGAAAATTTTCAGTTTTTTTAAAAAAAGAATCTCTAATAAACTTGCCAGATCAGAATATTGCTGTACTAAGGCAGACAATAAAATGGATGCACCTCAAATTATCACAGGTTGCTAGTTATCATTTTCTGCTAGAATATCAGACTATCTGACCCACAGACCTCTCCTATCTCCCTTTCCCCATTGGAAACTCATCCTTTTCCTCTTTTTTTTTGTTAAGACAGTAATTTGTATACAGAAGCTAGGACATAAATTTGAAATGTATACCCATATTCCAGGTCCCAATGAAGACAGTGATCATGTCAGGCTCTGATTGTTCCGAATGTTTGTTCTTCATTTGCTGTAGAAGCTGGCAGAAGCCTTCTCTTTTCTGAAAAATGGAGGAGTAAAAGAACAAAAGAAAAAATAAACATTATAACTAATTCAGTGTTATTGATCAAAGAGCCCCTTTGTTTCTTATATGTAAGCTGAAAAAATGCTTTCACAATGACATGTGTCAATAGAAAGTTTCAACCGAAGCAGCAACTTGTAAGTGATCTCTTTGATTTGGTAACATTTCAATCAGTAAGACTATTTTTAATTATTTAGAATCTGGAGAAAATGCTAAACACAGAAATGTTTAGATCAGTTCAAACCCTTCCTTAGTTTTGCTTCTGTCATGGTATAATAGCATGGTATAATTCAAAAAAAAATTCAGTAAACTGCCGAGATAAAACATTTGATTTTGTTGTCTTTAATTTATTAGAATTTTAATCCAAATTAATCAGTTTCTTGCATTCATAAATAGAACAGTATTGAGATAATATTATTTTTTATGGTATTTTTTAATGAAATGTTCTCTAGATGTACTTGGCATTTCTTTCCATGGATAACAAAAATTTTTAAAAAATGTGAGTTCATATTTTCTGTTTTGAGTGGGCATAAACAGAAAAAGAGAAAGATTATATTATATCACTTAAAAAAAAACAATAGTTGAAGTACAATCCACTTAGAAGCCAATAATGGGATAGTCAGTCATACTGGGATGCCATAGGTTAGATTACCATAAACCCTGTTCAAGCAATAAGCACACCCATAGATCTCCATACACAATGAGTATGAATAGTTCCTTTCCTAAAACAATGTAGAGATATCATAGAGAGCTTATCTTAATGGATAAATGTGTGCAATAGAAGGCTTTTAAGACATGCAAAAAATGCATCCATTTGAACTGATGGTGTTCTGGTAGAATAGAGTCCCAGCACAAATACAGAAACCTTTATTATTCATAGGCACATGTTGCAGATATGATTGCCGATTCACTGACATCACAGTCTGAGTGCAAAAGTGGGAAGGGCTCCTCTTACTTATCTTGGACTATATGAGAAAATATAGTGCCTGATTATAGTGCTTGAGACAATAGGAGTCTGGCCCTCCAGTTCTGATGAAAAGAGTCAGGTGATGGGGGCATCCAGATGAAGATAACAAAATGACTTTCTCAGTTTCAGGATTCATGGAATGACCTCCACAGGGAGACAGACCTTGAATCCAATGCAATGTCCACAGTGCAAGCAAAAAGATTCTTCTTTTTCCCAGGGATTTATTATGTACTGTTTTAAGCGTTCATGTGATATCATAATAGCAGCATTTATTTATTGAGTCCATTTATATCTTAAGTATCTTTCCTTCAGGGGCAAACATGTCTTTAAATTTTGTCCTTATATATATATGCTTGTCTTAACTGGTTTTAAATAGTTTTAAAAACCACCCAGAGAACTATAGCAATGGGAAGATAACTATTAATACACTATGAAGTATTTATAGCAACCATTCTTAATTTGGATATATATGGCAATTCAGGTTATGTCTTATACCTATGGAGAAAGATAGGTATCTTTTTTAGAGAAAATATATAATCTCCTTAAAAACTGGATTTGATTCAGTGTTTAAGATTAATTGGAATTCGTTCTACTGTCCAACTGAGCACATTTCCATAAGAACGAAACAAGTTACTAGTGACTACGCTGAGTTGGCTATGTAAAACTTTTAATTATTACCCTGCATTCTAAGTATAATTTACCCAAACAATTTGGAGGATGGAAACCCCCTGGATTGTTTTATAAGAAATACATAAACATTCATTCTTTGCCAATAGAAAATAAGTCTGGAACAAGGAACTGATATTTAAACAAATTCAAGTCAATAGCTTGAAGTAACTTGATCAAGTGACCTTCCCTGTATATATTTAACATGAGCCTGAATCAAGATGAGCAGGAAAACAAGGTTAACATATCAAATAATAGACATCTGGGCATACCTGGGAATGTCCTTTACTGCTAGGTATCCTGACCATTCTGACACTATTTATCTCCAGTGGCTGCTTAACAATCCATAACTACAGTGCAGGTGGCCACATTCTGTGCAGCAGCACTGCGGATTCATCACTAACATGTGTCTTCTCCACCATAGTGATATTATATAACAACTGTGGCAAACCCTTTGCACTGCTTAGTCACTTCCTTTAAGCATTGAACCTACAATGGGCCACACAGTTTGGGGATTGTAACAATCTTATAGTCAGACATGTATAATTGACACTGGATTTTATTATAGATTTTAGTTGTTATTTATTATTTTACACTATAATTTTTAAGTTTATATACACTGAGTGCTTTTATTTGTTCTGGTCACTGGTCTAAGACTGTAATAATAAATTGTTATTGTTGTTTTATTCAGAAGTGTCAAGAATATGTTTATTCCATATTCTATTTAATATCATCTGTATGACTTGCCAGTATGTGGTACCTACCACATAATTCTGAAGTTATATTGTTTATTGTTCATTAATTTAATTGAACATCCACTTTATTTTAGTATTTCCTGAATACCTCTCCCATAGGCCTTCAGATCTATCTTGAGGAGTTTTTGTGTATTTATTTATTGTGCATACACAATAAAATGCAGTTGCAACAGCATCCTATCTAATGTACACAGATATGTCAGAGTTAAGTTGTCTCGACCTCTTAAACAATTATACTGAGCATTCTTCTCTTCTGGTTCACAGTTTATTTTCTTTGTTTCTGATAATCCAAGCTGAACAGCTAGAGATAATATTTATTTATCATCAAATACATCCCTTGAAAACCTCTATAAATTGTCTCAGTACCAATTTCTGTAACAGAAAGAAGGAATATTTTTTAAATAAATAAATGCATCATTTTGCATTTGTAATTAATAAAAAAATGCCATAAAATAAATAGTAATGTTTCTGCTATGTTAAAACACTCAGAAGGGAGCATTTTACCTTAGAATCAGCAAAGACATATTCTTTCCTTTGTGCTTTTTCTTTTTCTGTCTCTAGTACAATGACCAGCTTGTTAGGAAACTTCTGAGACTTGATGAGCTGTAGGACTAAACAGGAGAAAAACTAAGTCAATCTTAGAAATTTTGAAACCAAAAGAGCCAATGCTAACAATATGTCTTCCTTCTCAGAACTTGACTTGCACAATCCAATCGTACTGGACTATGAAAGGCATTTAAAAAATTGACAGTGACTCAGAACTAAGCCTCAGGTGCAAATCTATTGTGGTTTCGAAACCTCATCACGCTGGAATAACTTCTGCTCATTAAACTATAGGATTGCCTCTTGATTGAGTCGTATGTCTCACACAGACATACAACATGCATGTGTCAATTCACCATTTCGTAAAAAGATATGAGATTGTCACAGAAGTCAGCATTGATGATTAGGAAAGCTAATGATGTGCATTTCTTTTACAACCAGCAGAAACTAAAATCAAATCTAAACTCCAATTAAAGGAACAATTCACATTAGAAGAGAACCATGTTAGTAGGGATGTAGCTGCTGATGTGATTTCGCTGACATGGAAAATATCTCGCATGCAATAATTCTCCATTTTGCATCCCAAGTTAAATGTTAAACATATCATTTATTAGAGCAAGATATTTGTAGAGCTTAATCTTGATAATTTAAAAATGAGTATAGAGGATGTAATTAGTGACAGTACTCAAAGTGGTTGACTTAGATTTGGGTACATTGAGGCAACTGGTTTAATGTGCTTTTCTACAGTTAAGAAGCAACAGAAAGTATACCAGCATAAATATGCCATATGCCTACTGCTGATTTCTGCTCTGTTTCTTTAACAGTTTAGTGTGGAACAATTTAAGATGCCCAGGCAATGGATCCTTCTTCCCTGGGGATCTGGTGCTGGGGATCAAGAGCCTTGCCCAATTCTGGTTCAACCTGACCCTGCCAAACAATGTATCTATCAGTTATAGTATTTTTTCCTACACAGGTTACCATATGACAGGCAAGTTTAACTGAGTGGAAATTTTCTGCTACACAGACCCCAACCCCCAATGCACCATCACCACAGTTGCTGTTGAAACACTGTACTTACATAGTCTGTATATTACATAGGTGGAAAACATCATTTTGGTGGAAAGGTGGAAAAGAAAATTCTAAAGACTTTAAAGTTAGAAACTTTAAATATAGACAACAGTACTGTTGTCCTTTGTGGGTGACCAGACAACCTGTCAAGTTGCCAGGACAAATTATCACTTTGAAAGCAATAAAAGCTTACAAACTTTAATAAAACAGCAATTTTACTTGTTGTAGGAGTGCTACCTCAATCACAATTGCTAAAATAGATTTTAAAAAAGACTGAACTAAACATATTGTATAGATTCTCCTACTTGAGCAAGGGAATTGGACTAGAAGGTCCCTTCCAGCTCTATTCTATTGTACATTGTGCTATTACCCAGATCAGATAAAAATAAGTTATAGGTAGTGGAACACCACATTATATTACTTACTGATTGCAATAATATTAATTATTGTATGTTGGCTTCTTAGTTATACTCCAGCATACTTTATGCAAGAGTTATTTTTTAAAAACCTGTCAATTGTCCATTTGTGTACTAAAAGTGCCTGCTATCTTCCCTCACCGGAAGATATGTAGTCTGCTACAATGCAGCCGGAGCTGAAATGCTACTGTTCTAAAGTACGTAAATAGCATTACATACAAAGGCCTGAAGCTTTTAATGTTTCCTCCTGTTGTATGATTCATATTTTAATTAATGAATCTATATTGAGTAAGAGTTGTAAAACATAACAGATATAAAACATATGTGCAGTGAGGAGTACTACTTTTGGTAATGTTTACTTCCTACATAAATTAGAAGATAATGTAAAAGCCAGATCTGGGCTTTATCCAATTCCTGTTGACCTTCCTAAGGAAATCTCTGGAATCTCTTCTCCTTGAGCAGCTGTGAAGATGAAAGATATGCAGATTCTGAAAATAAACCTCTTTTCTGGCTAGACTATCCTGTATAAAAATGTAAACGGTTTCAGAAATTATGATTCTGAATCATCATTCATTGATTTTGGTGACTATACATGCATGCATTTTAATTCTTGTATTATTTTAATTGTTTTTACATTTCTAATTTTGTTCACTGCCTAGAGTCGTGGGTGGCCAAACAAATCACGTAATCAATACAAGAACAATTTTGTATTGCAGCTCTCCTCTGGAACAAAGGCTTTTGGTCCTGAGGAAGGAAGAGCATTATCATGGGTCCCAAGAATAAGAAAAGCTGCTTTAAAGCATTTTTTGTTCTGGGAAGCATCACATGGAATATTGTAAATAAAGTAGAAAATAGTAGACAGATATGTTCAGTATTGAAATGCATGTGGATTAAAGGTAATCAAATTGAGAACAATTAAATGAAGCATCATTTATGAAAACACTAAGGGAAACTGTATATATTCTTGATTTGATTTTTCTGCTGGCAAAACGTTTGAACTAATGGTAAAAAATTGGAATCAATATATCAATGAAATATCTCAAAACTGCATGTTTGTCTCCCTTCAAAAATACCTTAAGGATAATAACACTTTTACATTGTGCTTTATTATCCAGAACAATTCAATGTTTTGTTTAAACAACCTTGGTACATGATCTCTTTTCAATTAAAATGAAAAATGATTCTCAGTTACTTATTTCAACTTCAACAATTTCTTATTTTATTTAAAAAGTCCACATGCTCTCTCAGTAGGCTTTGGAACACTCCAAATGTTCTATTTATGTAAGTCTTCTCCAGTCTTGTGGAGTTAGTATATTGACTACTAACAAGTTCTTAGCTGTTGGTTTTGTAACTGAGACTTCCAGTAGTTTTGCTAACTGTATTCCATTTCTAATTTGTGCAATAACCAATGTTCTTGAAGGATTAGGCAGTTACTAAAATAAATCAAAAACTTCGGGGGGGGGGGAGTTCCATAACAATAAGAGCATAAAATGCAAACAAAACTGGAAAATAAAGATTGATCTAAAATAAGTCCTTTGCTTATTAATGGCAATACAATCCTGGATCATTACCCCAAGAGGTTCCATGTAAGATAAAATAACACTGAGACTAAAATTGAGTCCCAAGCAAATACCACAAAGCAGAACTATAATTTCCCACTATTCCCTTCTAGAAACACCTTTTTTCACTCTCTGTCAATTACTCTGATGCTATGTTACTTACTGCAGAAAATCACTGAGGAGAGCAGAATGATTCAGCTTTTACATAACCTTACTTAGTCCAGCATGATAGAGTTAAGCAGCACTAATTGGTGTTAACTTTGAAATTTTTATTTACTCTTAAGTTATCAATCTCCTTTCAATTTTCTTTTTATTATTTGGCTTTTTTTGCCTTTTCATTTGTTTCTGTTTGTTTTAAACAGTTAAATAAATTAAATGAGACCATGATTGATAGTATTATGCTGAAAGATCTGAAAGAACCTATAGGCATCTACGCTTTGTTTTTTTCTGACGAAAGGTCATTTCATAGGCCAATCAAAGCACTTTCTGTCCCAAAGCTCAGCCTAAAACCAGACGGAAGAGGATCTATAATTGCCAAACAACAGGGTACAGAAAGCTGTTCTCATCACTACCAGCCTAACCCTTGTTTATTTCAAAAATATTTTGCTTAATAAACTCAACTACATAATAAAATTTAACCATGATTAAAAATGTATGTCCCAACTTTGGCCATAACGATGACCAGGTGTTTTCTCTGAACTGCAGTAACCCAGTCCCTGTTTGGTAGATCTTCCATCCTCTTTTCCCCTTCTAGCCAAGCCAGGAAAGCACATACCACCATTTCCCTCTTCTCTGGGCATAACTTTTGTGGTGGCAATAAAGAAATGGCCTCTCTCTGCTGAACCTGCTAAACAAGCAAAGAATCTGCTTTTCATTATTTCCTGTTTGTGCTGATGGGAGGAGGACATAAGGTTGTCTCTCAGCAGGCAGCCCACTACACCAGTAGGAAATGGCCAAGGAAAATGGGGAAGGCATACCTGCCAGAATGCACACCACTATTTGCAATTGAGGCATTTGCCTAAGATATACAGCAAACTCTTTGCTTGCTAGTACCAGCAAAGAGGGGAAATCTACACTTGGCACTGAGGAGCAAAATACTGTTTGATCTTCTTCAAAGCAACTGTGGGCTGGGCTGATAATCCTACTCTTTCGAAATGAAAAGTAGGCTATTCTTGCATTAGGGCAAACAAGAAAGGTAGATCAGCCCTAAAAAGATCTATTGTTAGGCACAAACAACCAGAGCAATACATGTAGAGTTTAAACCAGCTGCTTCATTGTTCTATGCCACTTTCACAGGAATCTTCCCAGACTGGCAGATATGCCTGGGAAAGGCTAGATATGGTTCAAAGACCTTGCCTCCTTGCATTTATGAATCCATGCTAATTCCTCATTTGATCCCTCCTCCTGACTGAGATGGCTGCTCTCCAACATCTACTAGGCAAATTTAAAAAACTCCATTAAACAAACATATATGTCTGTCAAACCAACAATAAAATAACAGCTGAACATAAAATAAGAATTTAGATACTGTATTGGTTGTTAGAACACTCTAAATTATATGTTCATGTCACAAACTGATTGCTCCATATCAGTTCCTCTAATGTTCTTTCTAGAACAAAATTCTTCATAGTTCACGATTCACTTGCTCTCATGCTTCATTTGAACCTTTAAATAAAATAGAGAAGTAGGAACTAGGAACTAACTTCAGCCTCCCTGTTGTACCATATTATTTCTTTTCATGAAGGTTTAAAATACTGTACATTCGACCTCCTTCCTATGCTTCTATGATGAAACAGCAATCAGAAGTAGGAAGTACCCTACAGTTTCTCTTTAAAGCTAGCTCTTAAATAATGCCACAGTAAGTTTATTTCTTTATCACCTGCAGTTTTAGTCTGATTACCTAAATAAAATTATCATCACCACCAATCAAAATAATCAATCTTCTTTCTTTGAAGGCACAAAATGTAACAACTATTTATGATGAAAGCAGACTTCCTTCTGAACTGCTAACGCATTTCATGTATAAAATTTCACTTTCAGGTTTGTACGCCCGTGTCTATTGCTCAATCAAAACACTATCTGAACATGTTTGCTATAAAAGTATCAGAAAGCTACAGTGTAACCTCTGCAGTCATATATTTGCACATTCAAAATTTATGTCTGAAGCAAACCTGAAAAAAACGTAATTTCACATACTCTTGTTCCCAGGTGAGCAAAAGTATTGAGTGAATGCAAATGGGACAAGTGATTTACCCACTTACTTTTTTTGTGGGTGTAGAATTTATCTTCAGGACCATCCTTAGCTTTCTTAATAATAAGTTTTCCCATCTCAACATCAACTTTAAGATGAATCTTGGAAGAAATCCCAAGGCAATCTGCTTTCACCTATGAGAACAGAAGAAATGTTATTTATATATACTTTCCATATTACATGGCTAACTTGCAGAGGCATAACAGAGAAGTTTAGAACACAGAGCATAGAATAATAAAGTTGGAAGGGACTTTGGAGGTCTTCTAGTCCAATGTCCTGCTCAAGCAGGAGGCCCTATAACTGAAATGTTAAATGATTGTCCAATTGCTTTTTGAAAGCCTCTAGTGATGGAGCATGCACATCTTCTAAAAGCAAGCAGTTCCATTGATTGATTGCTTTCACTATTAGGAATTTTTTTCTTAGTTCTAGGTTGCTTCTCTCCTTGGTTAGTTTCCATCATTTCTCATCTTGCCTTTTGGTGCTTTGAAAATGAGTTTGATTCCCCTCATCTTTGTGGGAGCCCCTCATATATTGCAACACTGCTGCCATGTCTCCCTTCTTCTTTTCATTAGACATAACCAATTCCTGTAACCGTCCGTCATGTCTTTTAACCTCCAGCCCCCGATTATTCTTGTTGCTCTTCTCTGTACTCTTTCCTGAGTCTCAAAGTTTTTTTTAAATATTGCATTTTGTTTTTCATATTGGCCAGAACTGGATCCAGTATTCCAAGGGTGGTCTTACTAAGGCTTTGTAAAGCGGTACTGGAACCTCAAGTGATCTTGATGCTATCCCTCTAATGCTATCATTATATTAATTGTACAGTGATTTTATTAATGTTATATTAGGCATTTCTTCAGAGAGTATGTGTTGCCTTTGCACTGTATCACTTTCAGTATGAACATGGTTTATTTTTTTAAATAGGCGAGAGCATTGTAGCAAGTATTCTAAGTAGTTGTCTATGTGACAAGATAATACTTAAAATTCACCTCAAAGGTAACAGGAGGGATAAGTGAACGTCGATGTGTTGGATCAGGCCCCTCAATCAATACTCTTTTCACCTGTAAAAATATAAGAATAAATAGTTCTACCTGACAATCTCAAACTTCAACAGTTCAACAGAAGGAGACTTTAGGAGATTTAGGAACACTTTATTGTAAACTGTACAATAGATTACACTTATTATAAATAAGCTGACCGATTTAGCCATGACAATGGTCAGTGAAATGAAAAGGGGGAAAAAAACGTTCTAACTTCTTTTGAGCTCCAGACTGTAACTGTATGAAGTTCAATTTTCATATAATAAAGTAATGAATGCTTATCTACAATTTCTAGTCTTCAGCATCTCTAAGGACTTTAAATGCATATGACGCATGACCAGGTTATTTTCCGAATTAATTTTTAGTTCACACAACAGGAACAAACTTCTAATAAATAACTGGCAATTGGCAATTTGGCACATAAGTTGTTAGGAAGATTACAGATCTCAATTCCTATGTAGTATAAAAACAATGGGACATTTTAAAAAACCAAGTATTAAAAACAATCAAAAGTATTTAAATAAGAAGATATAGTACATCTAAAGATTAAGTGGGAGCCAGAGAGATATCTAGAATTCACTGTACCTTATCCTCTAGGGAAGAAAGCAAACTTGTCAATTGAACCAATTTTGTACGATTGACATCAAACGATGGCTGGTAAGAATGTCATAGAAAAAGAAAAGTATAAGAACTAAAGAAATACCATTTTCTCAATAAGTCTGGCATTTTATCATCTGTGTATATATTTCAGAAAACATTGTAAACGTATATTATCCCACTGAGATATCAGTAGTTTGAATATCAGACTAGAATGGAATTGAATTAGCTTAACTGAAAGGTTAAGCACAAAAGAACCATTTCAAATCGAGTGCTTTAATGAGAAAAAGTTGCAAATGATGGAAAGTGATCTTGTAATTATGGGTCTAGAGCTAAGCCATGCAGACAAAATAGTAACATTATACGGTTGCAAGTAAGATTTTCCAGGGCTTCAGACACAAAAGAACTTTAGATGCTTCATTTATCAGGGTGGGCGGAAAGAAAGTATTTCCAGCAGAAACAGGAAGAGGTGAGCATATGAAATGGTGAAGCTATTTTATATATACCAAGACAGTCTATTTGGGCAGATAGTTGTGGACCATTCTAGAACTGTCTGTATCAGTTTTCTTCAAACTGAATCACATTATAACTCCCAGAATAGCTAGCTTCCACTAAACTACAGGCCATCATCTTCAGCAACAATGAAAAATATACCATTCAGAGATGGAATAACTAACCAGTAGTGCTGGGTCATTGACCAAAAATTTATTAAGATGAGAGAAAATAGTAGTGCTATAGATCATTCACCTATAAGTTTAAAACAGTTAAATTCTTCCATCATGCTAAGTATTTCCAGACAGTGTGAATGTGGGAATAAGTGTCTAGAGTTTCATACTTTAATATTAACATTTTAAAATTGGCTGAGTAGAAAACTGCAATCTAATGCAGGTCTTTTAATATTAGTGTTAGGGGACAATGGCTAGGTACACATCCCATACTATCAAATTATTATCAACACATGATAATAATGAAGATACAAGGTTATCAATCCATGACACCTTGTGATTAGGTTATCCATATCCAGGAAGCATTCTAGCTGACATTGCAATCTAATATAGAAAAGAGGCTAATGACATTAAAATCATTGCATACTTCTCCAAACCATGATCTATCTGCTCCTGAAGAATGAATGCAGCTCCTACCTATTTCTAGATTACTGGTAGGTAGCCCATATGAAACATAATACAATTAAGAAACAAATTGGGGGCGGGGGGAAGCTAAGAAGAATGCTTTGCTAACTATTGCCATATATTATGCAACCCCTCCTCTTTAAGTTCATATGGATTCTGAGACATATATTGCCAATTCCATGAAATCATACCTGAGAATGTCGATGGGTACCCGGGGAAAGTTGATCAAACACCATCTGTATAGATTCCAGAGAAGGTAACGTCCGAGACAACTCACTGAAATGCAAAAGCCACATATATAAAGACTTCATTTTTATATCAATTTGGTTATGCAGTAATACATTAGAATTCTCCAATATTGTCCTCTCTAAATCCATTAGGATGACAGATTCCAAAATTGTCCAGTCAACCAGCAAATGGCTATGAAAGAGTATAAGATGCTTTACCAGTTTTCAAATAGCTTCAAACTTCTATAATCTAACAACATATTCTGCATTTCTTTTTGGTTCAGCTGCAATTTGGTTGAAAGTAAGCAACATTGGCTTAGTTAAGTGGAGGTTTAGCTTGGTTGTATGGCCTATGGCCTTTGCTTCCGCATTGGACAAGATTCCTCCCTCAGCCTTACTCTTAGTTCTTAAACTTTAGCACATGTAATGCTGGTCTAATGATTTTGAATCCCCATGGTAAGAGCTCAGGCCAAAGGAGCAATGACTTCTAACTAGTTAGTCAAGAATTTATATAAATATTTATAAACAGATTTCCCAAACTGCTGATATTGAAATATGCCTACAAATGAACATGTGATTACTTGAAGAGTCCTTTGCAGAGTCCTGTAAGTAGTTTCTTCAGCTGAGGGAGATTCCACGAGCCCAGTTGTACATTTTCAATATCATTAGTTATATGAACTCTCAAATAATCTTGGATAAGTTTGAGATGCTCTTCTGGAACACTGTGGAAGAAAGAAACAGCTTGAAAACCAAATCAAGTATTAAGTTTATGTATCTAACTTTGGGCAAATGGGAGAAAAAGTCCTTGATGAGAGGGAATTACAACAGTTTTGTATAGCTCCTATTTCAATTTTTTACTAGTAAGGAATAAAAGTAGGAAAGAGACAAACGGCAAGAATTGTGTCAGAAAGGAGTCCTGCTGACAAGGAGGGGCAATATGTGCCTCTCTAGATGTTTTAGATTGCCAATTGCTACTTTGTCAATAATGTAGGATGATGGGACATTTAGTCCCATAACATCTAGAAGAGCTGGATCTGATGCTGTCTATTAATGATTTAAAATTTAATTTTCAAAAGACTGATATGCTCAGGGCAAAACACAAGCTAACTATGTACATTTAAACAATTATGGAGCAGCATCTATCTTTTGCTTTCAAAGTGCTTCAGTAATACTAATAAAGACGATTAGTACAATTATTCCATTGCTAAAGTTAGTTTAAGAGGAGCTTGCCTAAGCCTCCTTATACATTTACAGAAGGAACCCAAAATTAAATAACTCCCTGATTTGAACTAGTGTGATTTGAGTGTGTTATTCTGAACAATTTTGGAAGTAAAAGGGTGGGGTGGAGGAAGGATAGAATCATCTAAGCTTTCTCCCAAGGAAGCGCATATAAGATTGCAACCAAAGGCATACATTTTCTTTCATCAGTTTTTTTGTTTGCTGATAAATCGTGCAAGAATAGTTTGTTTTACCAAAGGAGGAAGGCTTTCTTCCTGTCTACCACCCACACAAAACCAAACCTCCTAACCTTTTCCTGAGAGAACATCCAGCCAGCAAATTTGCTGCTATCTATAAGATAATTTTTCACCCCACCCTCCTGTCAAGTGGGACCACCCTTTTGAGTTATTTGCTTCTAATATGATCACTAAAATTGCTGGATTCTTAATCATTTTAGAAATGAACAGAAAATGGATCATTTCCAGTTTCCATTTCTGCTATCACTGCAGAAGTACAAGCAGAAACATTTACCTAGTAAAAATTGGTCTTCTATTTTTATAAAATACCACTTAGTAACAGAAAAGCATAAGAACAGTCTGGTTGTATCAGCCAAGACTCATTTTTGATTCTCACAACGCATAACCAAATGGGGTACTTCTAAGCAAGATGTGGAGACAAACTCTTCCTAAGCTGTTGTTTCCCTGTATAGAGAGTACAGCCCTGATGGACAGAAGGAAGGAAGATCTGTTACCAAGGCAACAACCAGATAAACATGAGTTGAGCCCAGAGCAAGAGAGATTTATGAAGATGCTCCTCTCCCCTATTCACATGAAAATAAAAGAGGCTGAAGAGGCCGAACAGTCAAACTTGCATGGTTCTGTGTTACTATAGCTGTTCTAATAAAAGTAGCTTTAGGCCCACACTGTGCCTGTTTATACATTTGATATATGTATAAGGCTGGCATCCTGCATTCTGGAATTATGTTGCCCCAACATCCATTCCTCAAGACCAAAATATCATAAAGATGTGACTTATGTGAATTTATTCAATTTTAACATCACCTCTATTAAAACCATTCAATTGTATGGCTGTCCCTATGTTGTATAGTAATGACTTTCACTGATTAATTATATGCTGTGTGAAGAGCTGCTTCCTTCCTTCCTGCTAAAAACTCTTTCCAAACAACTTTGCTTGTTGGCTCTGGTCTTTGAGTATTTTTCTTGTCTGTTTTTTTCAGTCCCATGCATGACTTTATATACCCCAGTTACATCTCCTCTCAAGTGATTTTTTTCTGAACTAAAGAGTCACAAGCATTCTGACCTTTTTCATATGGAAAGTGTTCTGCACTCCCCTCCCCCCATTACATCTATTATATTTTGTGAAGTGCCCAACCAGACTTGGGCATAGTACTCTGGATGAAGATGTAGCGTACATTTGTCTAAGGAGATTATGATGTTGGAATTTTCAGTTTAAATCCCTCTTCTTATTACCATAGCATGACATTTGCCTTTTCCACAGCTGTCACAGAATGAGCTGACATCTTCATTGAGCTACATCCTGACTAGTTTAAAACAGCTTGGACACCATCAATGTTTATATAATGTTAAAAGTTTTGCCTCATGTTATTTTTCACTTATAATTTGACTTCCATCTGCCATTTCATGCATTTTAAAAAGATGCTTATGAAATTGCCTACAATTGCTTTTGGCTTTTATCACTCTGCATAGTATTATGTGCAAACTTACACAATTTGCTGCTTGTCTATAAGTCAAGATAATTTAAGAACAATTTTAAAGCTTATATTTTAGGCACTCAATTTCTTACTTTTTCCACAAACAAAATTGTCCACTTATTCCTATTCATTGCTTTCTGCTTTTTAACCAAGTAGCAATTCAATAAAAATAGTATATCTTATCTTACAACTGATAAATTTAGACACTTGTACCCATGTTGATGAGCCATAAAAACTTAATAAAGCAAGATCTGGATATTTCTCCAGCATGACTTCTTCTCTGTGCCTAGTTATTCATTCTTTGATTGCTACTTGGACTAATTTGTCTGGAACAGATGTTAAACTCACGTGTCAGATTTCCCAGACCTCCCTTTTTAAAAAATCTTGTATTCCATGGATTATCATCTGGTCTTCTGCATTGAGTTAGATTTAAAGGATCAGTTACATCTCTAAGAACTCTTGGTGGGGTGCCAGAAGTGAGTTAGTACAAAAAATGTCCTAGAATAGTGGTTTTTAAACTGTTTCAGACCAAGGGAACATCATTATTTAAAAAAACAAAAATCCTGGAATACCCATTCAAGAGAGATGGGGCTTCTGAATGTCAGCTGATAAGCACTGCCATTTCTGCTGTACCTTAACTACTAAGGGGAAAAAAACTCTCTGCAAGAGACTAAGGAGGGAAAAAGAAAACTCTCTCTAAAAGTCTTTTTCCTGCCTTGGTCCTGCAAAACTCTTCAAGTTCTTGAATTCATGGAACTCTATTAGGAAAACAAATTCCTAGAAAATGTTATCTTTCTTCCTGAGAAAATCATACTGCAATATTTTAGATTAATTATTACTCCTGAATGTCCATTACAGTATAAATTATATCATTTATGTCAATTTACATTGCTCACACATTATGGAAAAATGCAATTCGTGTAATGAAGTTATGATGTAAATGATATAAATTACTATGAAAGACATAAAACAAAAGCAAATTTTACTCCCTCATCTGGATACTTTGGTTGAAACAAAGAGCTCATGGATTATTTGGGGAGGATATTTACACAGAAATTTGGTCCATTGCATCTGTAGTCCACTAAGAAAAAGGTTTATTAAAGTTTTGTTGTACATAATTCTTCAGTAAAAAAGGCAAAGATTCATTCCATTTCTCTGTGAGTTCCTCATCCTCTCTGAGGAAACATTTAACAACTTTGTCATCTAAAAACTCAACTTTTAGAAATTCTTATTGTTCTCTTTGATTTTTGTTTGCCTCTGGATTTTTTGTTTCTGTTTTTTGGCATTCCATATTACCACTATACACTTTTTTGCCAGAGGTCCCTCCCCCCCATTAAAACAGGCTTTCCACTTCCTGAAGGAAGGCCTTCTTAGCTTTTACAGTTTCCCGGACACCTTTACAAAGAAATGCTCTGGCCTGTTCCTAGAGTTGTCTGGAAACCGTTTTTTAAGAGAACTGTGAAAAGAAATGTGGAAAATTCTAGACTTTCTAATTCTTCTTAAGGGAAATGGTGATAGATCTTACTTGCTGGTATCGTGCTGCTGTAATCGCTGAAGCAAGGTTTCAGAAAGAGGTGGTTTGCTAATTTCTGCCATCTGGATATTATCATTGGATAAAAGCTCTTCCTTTGTTTCACTTACTGGAACTGATATGCTGCGTGGAGGTAATACAGGTGGAGTAGGCAAATAATCTGTCACCAAAACAAGATATGCACACACTGTGAATTAGGGATTCAAAATGCTATTTTAATTAAAACATTCTATTTTTCAATAGGATACTATTCTTACTAGAGAATACTTCTCTATAGAGTAACCTCTGTGTATGTTGATATGGTACAATGACAGCTCGATAAAGATTTTGGTGACTTAAGTATAAATCTTCACATAGACATGAAAGTAAGTGAATGACTATGGTATAATCAGTATGTTTCAGTTTAATCTATTTGGGATAAATTATCACAATTTATCAGATAATGGAAAAAGAAACAGGTGGTAGCAAATAACAGAATAGAATAGAATAGAATAGAATAGAATTCTTTATTGGCCAAGTTTGATTGGACACACAAGGAATTTGTCTTTGGTGCATATAATTTTCCCTAAGAATTCTGAATTTGTCCTGAAAAGTCAAAGAAGCCAGAAAACCTGGATTGAAAATTACTTTGAGCCAATTATTCAGATATCGGTTTTAAGTTTTAATTAGAACTATTTCAGCTTAAGAGTTGAGTTAGGAACACAACAAGGAATCAAAGATAGGTTCCTTAAGAAGCTTCATTGTACAGCTTCTAATGGTTCTTATATGCACATATTTGGAATCCATATGACAGCTATGGTATTATTTTGAACTTCTTGTATACCAGGAAATAATCACCTCTTGTTGCATACATGTACATGTACATGCACGCACACACAAAACCTCAATATAACAACTTCACTTTTGACCTTTTTTAGGAACTGAATTTGGGTCAATGGGATAAAAAGAGTTCTGATATATTTGAAGGCCTTAACTTATTCTATAGCATTCTCATTTATCTCTCATGTATGATTGCATATAAAAGCTTTAAAAGACCATAATTTCAGTTTCTTCATAATTAATGATTTAATAATTGACCATGCAGTAAGAAGCAATTGATTTTAGACCTCTCTGCAAACCAATGGGTGAAATAGAAATGATGGCTGCTCCAGTTGCATATAAGAGATGTGTGATATGTCTACCAGTCATGTTTGGAGGAGGATGTTCTAATTTTCTGAGATGTGCCCCATATCATTAACATAGAAATTAAATTTAAAGGGGACTAGAATATAACTTTGTTTTATACCCTTATAAGTAGGCACCAGGCCAGAAAAATATCTTGGCTCTCAAGTCTTATTTGGATAAGTAACGCTATGCCCTAATACAGGTAAGCCCTAATAAGTATCAACAGAAGATCTGTTCAGTTTCAACCACAATCATTTACTGGAAACTAAGTTGAAGATTGTTTTAAAAAGAATTAAAGCTATATACAACATCTCCCCCACAAGTTGGAATATATATTTCTTAGTTAGATGTTGTAAGGCTAAGCATTCGTCCATGACTGATCTCTCTATCATGATCCCAGCTGGCTCTTCTGACCAGTCAATGAATTTTCAGTAAAGATTCCTATGTGCAAGGATCTATAATTCAGTGGCATAAAATACGACTGAATCTGAAGGAAGAGCCTTTAACAGACAATTGAAAGCTAACATTACATATTATTTAAAAAGCTGAAGCTCACTTCATCAGATGCATTACCTAGATGAACTGATGCAGATTTAAATTTAGATGAGCATGCAGGGAGAAAAGGAAAAAAAATTGTTTTAAAAATAAATATGTTTTAGACTTCGAGGCGTTGTCCCGTACTTTGACGACGTCCTCATTTCTGCGGCCACCCATGAAGAACTCATGGCGCGACTACGAGCGGTGCTTCTCAAGTTCCAGCAAGTCGGGCTTAAAGTCAAGCGGGACAAGTGTCAAATTGCCGTCCCTCAGGTGGAGTTCCTGGGGTTCCTGGTCGACGCTCGCGGCATTCACCCGACTGCTGCCAAGACTAAAGCCATCGTAGAGGCTCTTCCTCCAACAAACAGAGCTGAACTATAGGCCTTTTTAGGCCTCCTGAAGTTTTATGCTGTGTTCCTCCCCCACAAGGCCTCTGTCGCCGAACGCTCCACCGCCTCTTGGACTCCGGTGCGCCCTAGCTGTGGGGCCGCTGCGAGGCTACCGCTTTCCAGGCTGTCAAGCACCTCCTGGTCTCCAACGATGTGCTTGCCCAGTATAGCGAGCACTTGCCTCTTGTGCTCGCCTGCGATGCCTCACCCTATTGGGTGGGCGCCGTCCTGTGCCACCAACTGCCCAGCGGCGCAGTGGTTCCTGTGGCCTTCTTCTCCCGCACCCTGTCTGCCTCTGAACGAAACTATGCCCAGATAGATAAAGAGGCCCTCGCTATCGTGGCCAGGGTGCGCTGTTTCCACCACTACATCTATGGCCGTCGCTTCCTCATCGTCACTGACCACAAGCCGCTCCTCGGCTTGCTGGCCGGTGACCGGCAGGCCCACAGGTCATGTCCCCTCGCATGACCTGCTGGTCTGACTTCCTAGAAGCCTATGACTACTCACTCCAGCACCACCCCGGCAAACAGATCGCTCACGCTGATGCCCTCAGCCGATGCCCCCTGCCTGTTGGCCTAGAAGATCCTGCTGCCATTTCCCCGGTGTTCCTGGTTGACGACCTCAACCTGCCGGTCTTTGCCACCGACATTGCCCGGTTGTCCACAAAGGATCAGGTAATTTCCCGAGTCCTAGATTGGGTTAGGCGAGGGTGGCCCAAGGACCCCATGGAACCCGAGTTCCTTCTGTACAAATCGAGATTGGTGGAGCTCTTGGTCCAACCCGGCTGCCTTCTGTGGGGCCATCGTGTAATCGTACCGGCCTCACTGAGGACTACTGTCTTGACGCAACTACATAGCACTCATCCCGGCATTGTCCGGATCAAAGCCCTGGGCCGTAGTTATGTATGGTGGCCTAAGTTAGACCAGGACATCTCTGCCCATTTTGCAGGATGCCCTCAGTGCCAGGACGCCCAAGCACTACCACCCAAGGCAGAGCCCCGGGTTTGGGAGCCACCCTCTGCCCCCTGCCGCATGCTCCTCCTTGCTGTGGATGCCTTCTCCAAATGGGTTGAGGTCACCCACATGCCCTCGACTACCGCTGATGCCTTGATAGCGGCCCTCCGCCGCTTGTTCTCTGTTTCTGTTTCTGTTTCACTTTATTTGTATGCCGCCCTTTTCCCTGGGGGGACTCAGGGTGGCTCACAGTTCAAAAGGGGGAAGGGAAGGACAAACAATTTACAACATAAAACATAAAAGCACTACACCATTTAAGAACTCAACAGTCATACAATTCGAGTAGGGGTTAAAGTCTTTANGTCCACCCAGTCACATGGCTGGCAAGCCACTCCCTCCAGGTCACATGGCCAGCAAGCCACTCCCACAAAGCAGGCCACACCTACAGAAGAGGTTCTAAAAAATTTTGAAACCCACCACTATCTTAAACATTCTGTTGTAATCCTATAACCTTAGAAAGATTTGCAACTGGGGAAAAAGAGCTTCTTCCCAAAATACAAGCCAATCATAAATTAGACTATTTTTAAAAATCTATGCGGAGAAAAGGAAAGCAGAATGGGGATGACAAGGAGTGTGATGTAGGCTGGAATGTTTGACAGCAAACTGCTCATAACTTGTCTCAAGATTAGCTGTTCCTGAAAGACATATATTTTTAAAAACTGCTATTCACATTATATAAAGGAAGTCAACACAAAACATGGTACTACTGACATTTTAAAGATATTTTATCTTTCACTTTTAACTAGCTGTGGAAATAAAAGAAAATTATGAAAGGATGGCGTGAAAAAAGAATGGATTAGGATTTGAAAATGGAAATATTCCTCAACATACTTCAGGCTGTATGTTATCCAGGCATGTAAACTTATATTCAGTTTCTACTTCCATGAATTTACTCATAAATACATAAATCAATGGATTTTATTCATTTATTTACTCTACAGAAGTATAACCGGAAATTTGAAACAAGTTGAAAAAAAATTAATTAAATGGATGAAATTCAGAATGATAGACAATGATGTCAAAGGGAATATTATCTACCAGTGTAAATACTACAGAATTATAATTACATGATACTATACAATATTGTGTAAATACATTCCCAATGCATTTTTTAAAACCTGATTTAATGCTCTGTATTTAAAGTTCTGGAATATCAAACAGATTCTATAACAAATGAATTGAGCTATGGCTCATAAAATTTTCTTCCCCAATAGAGCTGTTTAGTTTTGAAGATGCTAATCCAAAATCACCCCTTACATAGTAGCTTTTGTTTGACATGATAAAAATTGTTATCCATAGATGTTGGTATCCTTGTGTTTTTTTCAATTATTATCATCATTTTCATGATAGTTTTAAAAATTCATGACCTGTTATAATCATTTGTATTTTCAAATTGCCATGAACTTAGCATTACAAACAATATAGAATCTCTTAAACCTTTTAAAAAGAATTTTAAATTGCTTCCTACTGTGATATCTATTCTCCAATATCCTACAAAGCACTTGAGACAAGGTCTCAAGGGAGACAACTTGAGATAGCTACATGTAGCTATGGCTTTAACAGTGTTTTTCAACCTTGGCAACTTGAAGATGTCTGGACTTCAACTCCCAGAATTCCCCAGCCAGCGAATGCTGGCTGGGGAATTCTGGGAGNAAATATTGCACTGGAACACCGTCACATGCCTAAAGGTGTCATTCATAGATAGATAGATAGATAGATAGATAGATAGATAGATAGATAGATAGATAAGGAGGGAGGGAGGGAGGGAGGGAGGAAGGGAGTACATGCATCAAATATTGCTGTAGATTTTCAACCAAATAAGTAGTAGTTAATAAGACACTTAGCAATACATTAAATCCCAGCATTTCTTTTTAAATAAACCTTTCCCCATATTTTCAGCCACATTTAGGTTTTTTAACAATTTTACATCTAAGCAGGAATTCTTATTAAGTGCTTCCTTTGGATCCTAAAGCCCATTCTTCATATTCTTCCTCTGTTTTTCTTCTGCCTACATTTTCCTTACTGTACTTATAGATTGATCCCCAAAAGAGCTTTAA